GAAATGTAATCAGGGAGAATTGCCAAAGTCCAGGGATTTTTTTGAAAAGTATTTGCACAGTTGCCCTGCTAAAGCAAGAATGAACCCTACTAGTCTCATGTGTCAAAGGTAACATGTACCTCATAAATGTACATTTTATAGTCTGAAACACATCTTGCCCACGAAAGGTGAGCAGGGCTCATTTGTTGAAAAATGCATGCATGTATCTGCACAAGCCAGGAAAAAGCCAAACCAGGGGGGCACAAGGGTCCGGCCAATGTCACTGCGTCCCATTAGTGGTGGCAATGAAATTCTCACCCAATTACTTGTTCACCTTCCTCCTTTGGCTATCTTTGCTTCTGTCTGTCTTCCCAGTATCCTTCCCCTAAATGCTCCTCCGTGAGCCTCCTGAAATTCTCCCACAATTTCCCTGGTTTCCCTACACACATTTTTTTTTAACTTAAAGAAAAACATGTAAGGCAAAGACATTCAGTCCAAGGCAAGATGCTTTTTTTCCCCTTCCAACTGCTGCATTTGAAGTAAAAAACAAGTTGACTCTCTGTTTAGATCAATTCACTACTGTGAGCCCACAGTGCTTCAAAAAAATGGAGGGTTCCGGGTGATCTGACAATTGGTTGCCCTGGAACCTAGGAAAGGAACTCACTAAATCAGCCAGCAAAGTGCAGTCAGGTGGCCTGTGAGGAGAAAAACAGAGCTCTTTGGGCTTGTAATTAATTTCTGGAGAAAAGGTGAAACAAAGTATCCCCTTGACTGGCTCTAGAAATAAACAGGGAAATCAAAAGATGAAGGATCCTTTTGATGGCAGTGAGGCCACTTCCTAATACTCTTGCTCTTTCCTGGTGACATCTGCTGGGTTTTTCTTCACAGCCCTAGCCCCGCCCCCATCCCTTCATCCCCTCCATCTCTGTGCAGGCAGTGGGAGGGCTCAGGGCAGCTCTGACTTCACCAACTGCGTCTACAGCCCCCTAACAGCTTCCTGACCCATCTGTTAATTAGCCATTAAAAAAAAAGGCCACACAGTTCCTCCCTCAGAATGCACAGAATGATTCTCATCTCTAATGAATCAACTCAGGGTAAAGAGGAAGAAACAGGTTTGGATATAAGACAGCTGGCTCGAATTGAATGTCAAAAAGGAGCCAGCCTATGCCCTTGGGGGGACATCAGCAGGCCCTCATTGAACAAACAGCCTGGGGGTGGGGGTGAGAGAGGGGGTTGCTGCAGAAACCACTCAGGAGACATTACAATGGTGGATCCCAGCAGTCCAGCAGCCCAGCAGCTTGAGCCTTTGCCTGGGCAGTTGAAATGGTTGGGACAGGTGGGCCGCTGTCCAGTGGCTCTCCACGGCCAGTGCACACTCTGCCTTCAGTCCATGTGCCCCACTCTTTCTCCTCCACGGGGTCCAGTTGGCTGTGGTGACTTGGTGCTCATCTGTCAGAATCACCAGAGAGCTGACAGATTCCCCTACAGACACTGACTTCTCACTCAGAAACATGATAGCAAGGTCTAATCACTTCTGGAAAAGACTAAATCTGTTCTTCCCTGTGGGGCGTGCGAGATGAAAACAGCCCTGCCCTAGGGAATGTGTGTGCAGGGCAGGCGGAGGGCCCTCAGCCCCGGAACGCGTGCAGCGGGGTGCCCGTGCCTGCTCCCCTTCCTTTTCAGTGAGGTTGTGCTCCCAGCAACTCCCTCAGACTCAGCCCCTGCTTGCCCAGCTACCATCTCCAGGGAGCATCCCACACTGAAATGAGCTTTTCTTTCCTTTCCAGAAAGGAAACGTCTTTGCTGAACTATTTCAAGGCATATATATGTAGCTGAACACACATCCCACTGCCTCTGCTGACCTCTGAAGAGTGCAGATTCTGTCTTCTCCCTACCTTCCCTAGGGAAAACTCATTACGATGTGAATATTTTATCTCTTTCTCCATCACTCCTTCCTTTTCCCAACCCTGATTTCCCAACAAGACAGTCAGCACAGGAAAAAAAAAAAAACTTCCCGTATGGCAGGCAGTGACCTCTGAGGTGTGAGTGCAGTGAGTGATCCCCGGGAACATTCACACTCAGGGGCCAAGAGCAACATGCACACTCACCCGGGCATGTCTCAGAAGCAAGAGGTCAAGATGGGACAGTGCTGTGCCTGCGTTACCCAGAACTGAAAAATGAGTTTCCTACCTGCCCAAGGTCACCCAGGGAGTGTCCTAGGTGTATCTCTCATGCTCTGTGCCCCTGCCTCCTCCACTCCCACCTCCCCAACCCC